GGCCTGATAATAGCCCTGCTACTTGAGCTCGACCTTTCAGTTTAAACAAGTCACTCCCTTAACGTACACACAGCACTACTTTACTTCCAATATGGAAACACAAATTATACATTGGAACGTCAGAGGCCTGCTTAAAAACCTCGACGACGTCCAAGAGCTTTTATACAAACACTCACCTCAAGTGCTGTGTGTACAGGAAACACATCTTAAATCCTCCAATACAAATTTTTTACGTGCTTACGTCATATACCGAAAGGACCGAGATGATGCTGTGGCGTCATCCGGTGGCGTAGCCATTATTATTAACCAAGGAGTAGCGTGTACACATTTACCACTCCAGACATCCCTTGAGGCGGTGGCTGTTCGAGCGGTACTCTTAAACAAACTCGTCACCATCTGCTCTTTGTATGTACCTCCCCACCAACGTCTTGAAAAACGTGAATTTCAGTCCCTAATAGACGAACTACCGGAACCTTATTTGCTTCTTGGGGACCTAAATGCACATAGTGGACTGTGGGGCGATTCTCGCTGTGATGCACGAGGTCGTCTCATTGAACAATTTCTCTTCTCTTCCGGCGCCTGTTTGTTGAATAGGAAAGAGCCAACCTACTATAACGTTGCCAACAAAACTTACTCGTCTATAGACCTCAGCATCGTATCACCTTCACTTCTACCCCTATTGAAATGGAAAATCATAAACAATCCATATGGAAGTGACCATTTTCCTGTAGTGTTGAGTTCACAAACAACATATGAATGTCCTCTACATGTTCCCAAATGGCTGATAAACAAAGCAGACTGGGAACAGTTCCACAACACTACACGTTTGAGTTGGACAGACATATGTAGGTTAAACATAGATGAAGCTGTGAAGTACTTCACAGCTTTTCTAACTGACGCAGCAGCCAGGTGCATACCGCAAACATCTGGAATGCCCGGCAAACGACACGTCCCATGGTGGAACACGGAGTGTCGTAATGTGCGAAAGGAACAGAACAGGGCATGGAGATTGCTGCGCAACTCGCCAACAGCGGAAAATCTTGACACGTTCAAGAAAATAAAGTCTCAAGGAAGGAGAACGCGTCGGCAGGCCAGAAGAGAAAGCTGGCAGAAGTTTTTGTCAGGGATTAATTCATACACACAGGAGGCAAAAGTCTGGAACATGGTCGGTAGGATAGCAGGGAAACAAGTACACACACTTCCACTCGTAAACACTCAAGGTGATACCTTGGAAGATCAGGCAAACTTCCTCGGGGCACACTTTGAACGGGTATCCAGCTCGTCCCACTATACTGACACTTTCCAAAAATACAGAACAAGAATAGAAAAGCAGAAACTCGAACACAAATGCACTAGATCCGAGGCATATAACCAAGCTTTCAGTCTAGCTGAGCTGCAAATGTCTCTAAACTCCTGCAGTACTTCTGCCCCAGGTTCTGACCGTGTGATGTATGAAATGTTAAAAAACCTACCAAACGAAACCCGTAAAACCTTACTTTGTTTGTACAATGCTATTTGGTCTTCTGGCACTATTCCTACCTCCTGGAAAGAGGCTATTGTTATTCCCATTTTGAAAGAGGGCAAGGACCCTTCTTTACCCTCGAGTTATAGGCCTATAGCACTTACAAGCTCCTTGTGCAAAGTCTTCGAAAAAATGATAAATTGCCGACTTGTACATTTCCTTGAAACAAATAATTTGCTCGACCCATTTCAGTGCGGGTTTCGAGAAGGTAGATCCACCACAGACCACCTTGTTCGTATCGAGGCACAGATCAGAGACGCCTTCGTCCATAAACAATATTTTCTCTCTGTGTTCCTAGATATCGAAAAGGCGTATGATACAACATGGCGGTTCGGCATTCTAAGAGACCTGTCTCACCTTGGTGTGCGCGGAAGAATGTTTCATATAATCGAAAGTTACCTGTCAAAGCGGACTTTCCGTGTCCGTCTGGGCAGTGTGCTTTCCCAAACATTTGTCCAGGAAACAGGCGTGCCACAAGGTGGCGTGCTTAGTTGCACACTTTTTATTATCAAAATGAACTCTTTGCACTTGTCCATTCCCCGCAATATGTTCTATTGTACATATGTCGACGACGTCCAGCTTGGCTTCAAGTCATGCAACTTGGCCATATGTGAGCGGAAGGTTCAGCTGGGTTTAAATAAGATCTCCAAATGGGCAGACGAAAACGGATTTCGACTTAACCCACAAAAAAGCACGTGTGTTTTGTTCTCTCGAAAGAGAGGCATGCACTCGGAACCTGACATTCGACTGAACGGGCAACGTCTGTCCGTCAAAGCTGAGCATAAATTCTTAGGCCTAATCTTGGACAACAAGTTGACCTTCGTGCCGTACATCAAGTATCTAAAAACAAAATGTTTAAAAGCCATGAATGTTTTAAAAGTGTTGTCACGTACTACTTGGGGTAGTGATAGGCAATGCCTCATGAACCTCTATAGAAGCCTCATTCGCACCCGCTTAGATTATGGGGCCGTTGTCTATCAGTCTGCTACTCAAAGTGCCTTGAAGATGCTGGACCCCGTGCACCATTTGGGCATCCGCCTTTCTACGGGTGCTTTTCGCACCAGCCCCGTAGAAAGCCTTTATGTTGAGTCAAATGAGTGGTCGCTTCATCTGCAGAGAACTTACATGTCCTTTGTTTATTTCCTTAAGGTGAAAGCAGACAAGAGGCACCCCTCATACTCTACTATAAATGACTTGTCGAGCTCCATTCTTTTTCAAAACAGGCCTTCAATGAGGCAGCCCTTCTCAGTTCGCCTGAAGGGTCTAGCCGAGGACACTGGAGTGTCACTCGAACACAATTTAATGGCTCCTGTAGCATACCCGCCACCGTGGCAGTGGCAGACTATAGATTGCGATGTGTCTTTTTTAGAAGTTACTAAACATGCGCCTATTGCCCATATTCGAACATACTTCTTGGAACTTCAACACAAATACACACGTCCTGAGTTTTTTACAGATGCCTCTAAGTCTAACTCCTCTGTGTCCTACGCTGCTGTTGGCCCTTCCTTTTCGGATGCTGGCCCTCTACATCCAGACACAAGTATCTTCACGGCGGAAGCTTACGCGATACTTGTGGCAGCTAAACACATCAAACAATTACAAATACAAAAAGCAGTAATTTATACAGACTCCCTTAGTGTGGTAACGGCTCTGCACAGTCTTAAAAAACAAAAAAAACCCTGTCCTCATCTCACTTTACTCTATTTTGTGCACACTTTACACACTCAACCAACATGTTGTAGTGTGCTGGGTGCCAGGGCATCGTGAAATTCAAGGCAACGTGATGGCGGATCAGCTTGCTGCATCCGTCCACGAGGGCACCGCCACTACACCCATATTAATCCCGGCCCTTGATCTTAAGCCGTCTCTCAAACGAAACATCAGAGACTTCTGGCAGAGCAAGTGAAATACACACACACAAAACAAACTACACATTATTAAGCCACACCTTGGTCATTGGCTGCCAGTATCAAAATCGCGTTATACAGAGGTAATACTAACGAGACTCAGGATAGGACACACATACGCAACACACACACATCTTTTGTCTAGTGACGATCCACCATTGTGCGACAAATGTGGTGAAACATTAACAGTCCTTCACATACTAATCCAGTGTAAACATTTAGAAACTCTAAGAAAACAACATTTTCCATTACTCTACCGACAACATATACCTTCACACCCTGCAATGTTTGTCGGTAGGGAACCACTTTTTAGTCATAAATCATTGTTAGCGTTTTTAAAAGAAATTCACAGCTTTCATGTCATATACCCGGGCATACCGTAGCATGACCTTTCCAGAGAGGTTTTTGCTGCGGTGGCTACACAAGAAAGCACATGCCTCACGGCCCTTGGACGCAAGGGTTTGAACGAGTGAGGCACTTGTGCTAATGTCATACATATCCACCATCGTCTTTTATTATCACCAACTTTTGTCATCTATTCACACCACACACACCTTTCACGGCATGGTCATCATTTTATTACTTGTATGTTTTTACCCGCCTTACTGCGAGGAATTTTATGGCCCTTATACAGCCACTTATCACAATCATTGTCCATATTTTTAGTAAGATGAACTGGCGCTCTTTGGCCGTGAATCGGCCCTTGCGCCATAAAACATCAAACATCATCATCATTCCTTGCCTTTACTGTCTATTATCTTTAATATTTTGTCTAACAACAAAAAGGTAAGCCCTTAACATACTTTCCCTAATACTGCACAGGTTATATTGAACTTCTGCTGAATGCTTGAAAAGGAATGGTGCTTCCTCATCTCTTCCGCTGGCATGCACCTTTCCGTCACAATATGCATTGTAGTGAAGGCAAAATGCCAATACTGCACCCATTCTGCCAAATTTTTTAAATTCTACAACATATACAATAACGCCACACGCAGCATAGTTGCTAGTAACTCTGTAAAACATGCATGGATGTCGATGACCATGTAGTTTTAAGGAGTGAAAATGTAGAAATATTAGTAAGATGGGGTGTCACACTGCTTGGTAGACCTTAGTGGGAATAGATAGCAACATCAAAGTTAAAGTGCCAAGTTGTCACACAAACCTTTTCTTCAATTCATTCCTGCCGAAGAGAGCATCTGCATAGAACCACCCGTTCAGCTCAGTTGCCAACAACCCAGACCATGAATATTTTCAAGCTCTCTAGCGTAACATTTCATAATGTAAATGTATTAACCACTCTTTTTGGTACATTGGCATTGAGAGTATAATAAATAATTAATCTTTAGTTCATGCACTTTGGTGATGCATTTGAACTAAAATTGCATGCTTGCACTCGTTTAGAAGGGCATACAAACAAATTGCTGCTTTTTGTATTTCCACAGCTTTCTGCATAGCCACCGATTCACCAAGTTCCAGAAAGTTCATTTAGATATATACTGTCATAGTAAAATAAACGTACATAAACACTGTGGATACACCTTTTATTTTATTTTTTCTTCATTTATTTGCAGATAAACCTGACTCGCATAGATCATTTCTTGGGGCCATCTTCTGCTTCAGTTTCTTACACTTGGATCTTCAGCAAATGTCGACATTGCTCTGGAGCTTACAGCGCCAATTGAGAGCACAGACTCCGCAGGTCTTCCTTTGGCCAGATCCCTTGGAGGCCTCATGTAACATAAGCATTGTGAATGCTGACTCAGCATATTGCTTCCTCATCATACTTTTTATAGATAGCCTGCAAAAAAAGGGGGAGTGGGGATGAATACCCAAAAGGGCGGTGCCACCTTACAAATATTGAGGCATCACTCTCACTCCCAATAACAGCACATTTGAAATTCAAGACCACAGAAATAAAGCGATTGGGGAACAATTTCTTCCTAGAAGTGATAAACAACCAGGTAAAAAGCAATTTGCCACTTTCAAATAAAAAAACAAGCTTTTGACTTTTTTATTGTGAAAGATAAGTGGCACATGGTAAAGATGTGGACTAAGAAAGACAGCGGATTGTCCTGTCGCATTTACTAATGTTCTTGTGTGCCATACATTTTCAGGGTTTATTACCAACCAAGCCTATCTTACATCTTGTTAGTTTAACTTTACACAGGTTCTCCTATAGTTCTGACACTGATATAAAAACCGGCTGTGGTATATTGACATAAACTACAACAAAATTATTGCCATCGTTTTTGCCCGAGAGTGGTTCGCTCTGCGTTTCAGAACGGCTCTGATCTTAAATTTTGTCAAATTCAAGCCAGATCACAGAAAAAGGTGAGAAATGTATGTCCCACTGGCTCAGGAGGGTGTTTCGAAAAGTGGGAAAACACTGTCTCATAAAGGCACTATCTCACGGTTGTGTCAACAGGTATTTTGATTATCAAAACACTGCTTTCGCTCTTCCCTTCACTCGTATCCTCTCTCAAAGCCACTTTGTCCTTTCGCTGAGCACCCCTCTAGGGGCTTTTCTGCTTGTCACATTGTTTTTTTAGGCCTCCTTGATTTAACCACCCCTCCCTTCACACACACCCACTATTTTTTACCTTGTATTAACGCAATGGCGTTAGAGAGCTCGTGTCGCAAATTACACCGTCGGCACTATTGGTTGTGAGCGAAAAAATAGAAAAAAGAGCAAATAAAATAAAAATAAAATTTTTGGTCCCATTGAGGATCGAACCCGTGCGTGTGGCATGCAGGTGTCCTACCACAAAACCACGATGTTACTTGCTGCTGTTTCGGGAAAATACTCTATCTAAATGCCATGTAGTAAAAGGAGTCTCTTTAATGCATTTTGTTTGACAGTTGTCATAACGAAAACGAGCCCATTCAGCGATTTGTAGGCACATTTGGGAGGCTATCAAACTATGTCGAAAAAGGCCGGGATAGTGCAGCCATCGCCACTAAAAACACACAGGAACTTTCAGACAGCTCAAAATATGAACAACTACGTCTACCTATTGGAAAACATATCATGCCTTTCCAGAGTTGATCAAGCAAACAGCAAACGCTAGATCATGTGTTGCCATCTGTGAGGCATTGTGAGACTTTATGCCCCTTCAAGAAAATGTCATTTCAACAAACCACAACACTTGCATAGATTTAGCTTTTCATTCTCATGACACCATTAAAGAAGTGAAGTACTGCAGTTGCCATTTCACCGACCATAAGGCGATGCTTGTTGCGGTTTTCTTACCCCATTTTCTTACCTTTCCGTCTTTTCGAAAAGATTCATCCCCCCCCTCCACTCTCGCATGGCATGCAGTTGTACGTGCGGTCTCTGCGTACCTAGAAAAATGTTTGCCGCGGGGAGGTGGTACACGCAGGAAACACAACGAACAGCGAGGGCATGAATGCGATGTGCATCAGAATGAGCTGTGTGTCACAAAGAGGCCGGAAAGGAGCCGATTGTTTTTTTTTTAATTTGTGGCACACTGACGGCTCATAGTGCCATCTAGTGTGGCATCATTGATCGTGATGGCATTCTGCATACGATGCACCTGTTTACTTCAGTGTTTGAAAAAAATATTGGAGGAGATTTAGGGTCGCTTTAAGGAACTGCCCCATACAAGCACTAGGTGGGCTCCCTCTTTCCAATGGCGTCGGCAATGGCCTAGGCCCACTAGACAGTCGAGCTGGAGCAGCCAAGCAAAGCCTGTGTCCCGGTCTTCTTGGGATGGGTAGGGTAAAAGGGGTTAGGTTCGGAGATTTTGGCACAACCATACCATGAGGAAAATGTCAGGAATTTTTCTCAAAGTGCTGGCACTTCTCCATGCAAATGGGGTCAAAGTGTATTGTATTCCTAGGCACAAAAGAGTTTTCCTATTACAACGAAGGACGATTCGCACCTCTGCCTTCCAGAAGGTTCTGTTGGGTTTCGGGTATATGTGACAGCCAGAGTTGATAAAATTGTATGACCTTCTTGAAAGTGCAGCTCAGAATTGATAGGGGTGAAGACAATGCCTCAAGAGCGAGCGGGCTGCCCCGCTACGGTCGTCAATTTGCTAAGGTGACTGCTAACTGCTGTGGCTGCTGACTGTTAGGTCGCAGGATCGAATTCCGGCTGCGGCGGCTGCACTTTTGATGGGGGCGAAAATGCCGTAGGCCCACGTGCTCAGATTTAGGTGCACGTTAAAAAACTCCAGGTGGTCAAAATTTCCGGAGCCCTCCACTAGGAGGTCTCTCATAATCATATGGTGGTTTTGCGATGCTAAACCACACATATTAATCAACACAGGCTCTTTTGTAAAGTTCGTGCAAGAAATGTTGATAATGATCAAATATGGTGGATTTTCCATTTCAGCCTATACAACTTACTTCTAAAGTGGTCTGCGACTACTTTCTTTAATGTTTTTCACGGAGATTTAGCTCATGCAGGTCCTCCTCTACTATTGTCCTTCAGCAAACTAGTTCAATAAGTAAACATTGCTGTCATGTTTATTTTGTCTTTGCATGAAACAACATGCCAGGTTTTTACCTTCTGTACTGCTACTACTCAAAGCAGCTGCAAAAGTCTGTGTAATATGTTTTAGTCGATGCACGTTTTGATGCTATACGTAATACTGGCACATTCATTTGAGTGAAGAGGGAGCGATAAGAATCAAGTTAAAAAAGAAGGCACAGCATGTTACGTTTTTCTAACCCCAAACCGAGAGTCTACCGGAATAAAAAAAAATCAGTGACATATTGTTTACTGAGGAGACAGATTCATGTAGAATGCAATACCACTTGAGTAATATGATAATAAAGAATGTAAATAAAGAAATTATTAAAAAATGAAAATCTTGCTAAAGGCGGGTACAAGGAAGTGCCAATTTCTTTAAATTTTTCAGGGAAATTATCTTCAAAAAGCTTCGACAATGTCTATGCAAAAACAGCTATGTGTGCATACAGTTATAGATGCTTACTTATGCTGCGGCTGCACCATCCCTTAATTGAGACGAACCAGTGTACGAGCATACTTTTCAGTGATTTCTAGCATTTCATGCAAGAAGCTTGTTTGGGATAGCATTCTCTTGTAGCAATTCAGCAAAATGTGCACTCACTGTACAATTTATATAAACAGATAGTGCCTGTAAACAACTTTCTGCTTTTTTCATCCTAGAATATTATTTTGATGGTAAAAGCTCCTTCTGTTTGACACTGAGCTTCATCGATTTACACATCCCGGACGCCGGTGCCGCATTAGTTTTTCTCGGGGACCAGCTGAAAGCTCCGCCCACTGGTCCGGGATCGCTCGGATGCATGTTTCGTTTTTCACGTGCCTGGCGGCCTCTGGGCGGCCCGGGACTGTCCGAACAATTTCTTTCGGGCAGCTGGCAGACGACAGCGCTGTGCGCATGCTGTGCGGCCATCTTAAGTTAGACACGGGAAATTTTCGATGCGCTCTTGCTCTCTCTTTGCTTTTCTGTCCGCTTCTCGCATGTTTCTGGATTTCTCAATGTTTGCGCACCCAGTTCTTGGCATGGGTGATCTGAGGCACGTCGAGCATGGGCGTTTTCCCGAAGGTCGGGCAAACACGCGTTATACTCGCTAGGAGAAACAGCGGTAGAACGACTGCGCCTGTCTACGATGCACACGTGCTCGAGTAGTTCACTTACAGTACATTGCATCACAACAGAAATAGGTATAATTAGCTACCTAACTGCTGTTTAGGTTGGAACTGAATTAGCGTTGTGGCCTGTGTTACAGCTACGGAGGGAGCAGACGGTATAACCTAGCATAACAGACACCACAACGAATGCAGTCAGCATCAGGCGCGCAGATGGCCGGAGGCCACTCGGGCTGGCTCGGGACATTTAGATTACGTGCATTTGACGTAGCCGCCTGGGAGTCGAGCCGTCCGCAGGCTGTCCGCGAGTGATCCGGGACATGGTAAATCGATGAAGGTTAATATTCACAGAAATGACCATCACAGCTTCCAAGTGATGTGTTATTGCGACAGCAACTATATGGACAGTCTCGATTGCTGTTTACTGTCCCTGCTGCCGTCATTCACGTATATGTATGTATGTGTATATATATATACACACACACAGGGATGCGCTAGCCTCCTTTTTCTGCGGAGCGAACACCACTGAATCGTCTGCGCATGCGCTCGTTTCGTGAGTGAATTGGGAATGGAGACATATGGTTGCCGCGCTATAGCAGCAACGATCAGCACCCGGCTCTTGCTCACACAGCAGGCGAGAGCGTCTCAGGCTGCACTATCAACACGAAAAAACTATGCCAAAAGAGTACCTGGAATGGCCGTCTACATATACATGTGCTCTACACATATTAACCTGCCACCAGCAGCGACACACGACATATAGCCTTTAGTACAAGCATGCGCTGCCCACACGAGACGTTTCTCTTCATTGCTGTCACTACGCACAAGCCTTGTTGTGGTCGTCTACTGTGATCACGCCGCAGAAAACTTGGATACTTAACAAGTGCACGTTTACTGCAAATAATGTTGCTCCTAAATATGTTAGCCTTACTTCGTAAAACATTTGAATATGTTGCTATCGGATTCACTGCTTTGCCCTTTTAGCAAAACTGTGACTTTTGATAAAGCGCTGATAGTCCAATTTATGAAGAGTGTGCGGACACTGTCCTACCTAGTACGCAAGCGAGACACATCCATTAGGGGGCGACTTCGTAACTTCTGGCCCCTTATACAGTACTATGATAGACTATGCTATACCTTATGCTCCCTACTTCTCCTGAGATCATTCCTCACCTTTGTTTTCCTTTCCCACCTTTTGCTGTACTATACACTATGCGAAGCTTCGCTATGTTGGGAGCTTCTTGGCAGATATTTGCTTTTTTGGGCGCATACTTATAGAGTTTTTGCGAACACCTCACGGGAGAACATTTCGCTGAAAGAGCTCTGCTCCAGTGTAACTAAAATCGCAGAGCCTCCGTGGAACACACAGCACACTGTCACAGTGAAACCGTGAAAGGGGCAA